TCCCTCTTTTCTGCCCAGAAATCTCGCTTCTGTGAGCCTTCAACCGCACCTGCGTAAATTCCATCGCAAGTGTGAAATCACTTAAGGGGGACTGAGTCTGCATCTGCGAACAAGGGCCTCTTCTGCTAGCCCGCATCTGCGCTCCAATTCCGCTTCTGCACGTCCGCTACTGCAGATCTATGGCCGCACCTGCGGTCCCAGCTGGACAGGGTCAAAACTGCTTCTACGGCTCATGTCGACCGATCAAAGTACGTAGGTGCAGCAGCTCACACTACTAGAAATTCGGCAAAAACCGACCAATGTCGACCGATCAAAAAATTGACCAAAGATGGTCGGTTTTTTAAAATATTTTATTTTTTAATTTGTTTTTACGAAACCGACCAAAGTTTGGCGCAAAAATACAGGAAGCTATTTTTGAGTCCCGCGAAATTTATTTTTTAAGAAACCGACCAACTTTGGTTGGTTTTTCAATTAAAATAAATAAAAATTGATATTAAAAAAACGACCAAAATTGGTTGGTTAATTCGGCCGGTCATTTAAAAAATCCGACCAACTTTGGTCGGTAATTTTACTTTTTAATAAAACCGACCAATTTTGGTCGGTTATTTTCGTGCGAAAATATAATTAAAGAGTATAAATAAAAAAAAGACAGTCTTAAAACAAAATGCACCAATGGTCTAGTGGTAGAATAGTATCTTGCCACAGTACAAACCCCGGTTCGATTCCCAGATGTTGAATCTTTTGATTACATAATTAAAATACCGACCAACTTTGATCGGAAAAAACCGACCAACTTTGGTCGGTTTTTTTCAATTGTTTTTTTTTAATTTAATTGACCGACCAAAGTTGGTCAATAATTTCTGACCAACTTTGGTCGGTATGCCTTTCCGACCCCTAAAATACCGTTCACACGTAAATGGTCGCGTTTTGGTCAGTTATTTTGGTCGGGTTTTACCGGATTTCTAGTAGTGTCCAGCAATTGCATAAGTCCCAAACTCAATTTGTTAAGCACCCGAAACTCACCCGAGACTCCCGAGACCCCCGGGACCTCGACCAAACATACCAACCAATCCTAAAATACCATACGAACTTAGTCGAGCCCACAAACCATATCAAACAACGTTAAAATCACAAATCATCCTCTGATTCAAACTTAAAGAACCTGAAACTTCCAAATTCGACAACCGATGCCGAAACCAACTAAACCACGTCTGATTGACCCCAAATTTTGCACACAAGTCATATTCAATATTACGGACCTGCTCCAACTTCCGGAATAAGAATCCGACCCCGGTATCAAAAAGTCCACTACCTGTCAAAATCTCCAAAATTCGACTTTCGCCCAATCCGGACACGCCCCTAAGTCCAAAATCACCCAACGGAGCTAACGGAACTGACGATACTCCATTCCGGAGTCGTCTTCACACAGTTCTGACTACGTTAAAAATTCTAAGACTTAAGTCACATAGTCGGAATTTAAGTCACATAAGCATAAAAAGGTACGGGGGAAACACTAAACAGGGTATCGGAGCTAATACACTCAAAATGACCGGTCGGATCGTTACAAAAGTCATCAAATTCTGATTGAATGTATACTCTTGCAGAATTTTGAAATAGGTTTATTACAGTGTTTCTCACTCTTCTTTGCTTCAGATTCTTCTCTAAGTGATATATGCAAATACCACGGTAGCACTGAGGGAAAACCTTTGCAATTCCATTTGCAATGGCCTTGTGTCGATCTGACAAAAACATTAAATCTTTACGAATGCCAGTTGCTTTTCTTAATTCCCTAAAGTACCATTCATATGATTCGTTATTCTCTGAATCCGCTACCCCAAATGCTATAGAGAAAATTTGGTTATTTTCATCCTTGTAACTGCCACTAATAAAACACCTCTATATTTATTTTTTAGAAATGTTCCATCAACAGCAATAAGTGGTCTACAATACTTCCACCCAGAAATTGACGCCCCATACATAAAAAATATGTAAACAGACCTGTTATATTGAAAAGTAAATAAATTTAGTTTTACGATATGACAAGCTGAATACTAAAGGATACTAGTAGATTTGATGCCACAAACGCAAGATATTTACCTGTTTTCTGCATTTCTCTTAATACTAGTATATGATCCTGGATTTTTTTGTTCGGTCATATATAAATATGACGGTAGCTGCTCATAATTTCCTTCTGTTGTGCCTCTTAATAAAGATATCCCTTTCTGAATAGAACGCCATATTTTTCCATAACCAACATCTATTCCATGTGATCTTCTCATTTCTGAAATCACAAACTTAGGGTTTACTTCAGTAGCTATGTCTCTTAAGTTGTCAATCATTTAATATCTAATCACATTTGAAGTTGCTTGTCTTTGATGTGACTTTCTAATGTCAACGGAGCATTCATGTGTTCTCTGAAATTTAACTATTTTAAAAAGTATTGACTCCTTAATTCTTGAACCTCGAACAGTCCAACCACACTTTTCATCAGTACATACCAAAGAGTATCTTGTATTACTTGATCTTTTAACATATAACTCAAAGTGCTCCTTTATTGTTGCTAAGCAAAAAATCTATTCATAGCATTTTTGTCTTGAAAAACAGACCCTAGTTTTACATCATCCAATGATGCATTTTCCTTTAGTATTATTGATGGGGATTCTTTTGCCTTTCCTTTTGCTTTCCTTTTTCTCCCTTCAATTGTGTCTAGTGTTTTAAAGTGTTGATCTTCTATAGGAATTACACTCTCATTTTTCATTGTAATTTCATAAATTTAAATGTCTTGCTCTTCTGGTATTTCAGAAATCACCATCAGTTGCTCTTCTGGAACATATGTGTTTGCCTTCAATAATTGTTGATTGTCAATCTCCATTATTGCATTACCTTCTTGTTGTTGATCTCTAATAAAATTTTCAGAAAGTATTTCTGATATATCAACAATAAATTTGGAACCTTTGTAGTATGGATCGCTTCTTAAAAGCATTATACAGGAAGTAAGTTCTTCATCTGTTGTCACATGTATTCCCTTGCCAGTACCTAGATTGATATTAAGCCATATTGTTGCTTCATACTTGTTGCTGTCGAATTCCATAACTTGAAAAATCTTATTCATGAATTCGTCAAATGAAGTCCCATCATTTATAAGCAGAAGCTTCATTTTATGATCTAAACACTTGTAATCTGGTGTCAATTTGCCATCGAAAGCAATAATCAAGAAATTTGTATGCATCCTGCATTTAATGTACACAAACTCTGAATTTTATGAGTTTTATATATCAATTCAGAAAGCTCCAGTCTATTATTTGAATCACAGATACTTCCAGTATAATAAGCTGGAAGATTCTGAGTTTTTGATATTAATTAAGAGAAGTCTAGCATTTTATACTGGGGTTAACTTTTGCACCATTTGGTGAATTGTTTTTTTCTGCTTTTAAATTAAAGATCCCTCCATTATTATATGTTGCACAGTTTGTATATTTCGCATAAGTAATCATAAAAGTTTAGCATTTTATTCACAATATTAGGGAAAACTTAAAATTTGATATGAGTTTGTTCTGGTTTGAATCACATATACTTCCAGTATAGTCTACTGGATTTTCTGAGTTTTTCATATTAAATGAAGAAAAATGCATTATTTTATACTGGTGTTTTGTTTTATACCATTTTATTCATAATTTTTTGTAGTAGTTTGAATGAAAGATACTTCCAGTATAATACATTAGAATTTTATGAGTTTTACATATTAATTCAGAAAGCTCCAACGTATTATACTTGTGTTTTGTTCTGGTTTTGAATCAAGCACTGTAACACCATTTTATGCAGTATTTTTTAATGCTTTGAATTAAAGATACCTCCAGTACTATATGATGGAGACTTTATAGTTTTGACATATATAATCAAAAAAGTCCAGCATTTTATTCAAGATCTTATGGGAACCTTAGAAACTTAGATGTGTTATTCTTATTCACAGATACTTCCAGTATAATCAGCTGGAAGTTTCTGAGTTTTAGATATTAATTAACAAATGTCCAACATATTATACTGGCGTTTTATTCTGCATCATTTTATATTATTTTTTTGTGGTTTTGAATTAAAGATATCTCCAATACTATAGCATATGTTATTTTTTAAAGAACGGCATAAATTACTTGAAATTAAATTACATTTATATATTATACAATTAAGAACAGAATAAACGTTTCTCATATAAAATTTATAATAATATCAGAACATTGCAGATTAACGCATTGAGAAAATTCTAGATTATCACAGATGAAAGCATTGAGATGAAACCAGAAAATTAGAAGAATCAGAAAAATAATTGAGAGCTTACTTCAATCTGTAGATTACGCTGCAAGATTCTGCTGAAAACAGAGTGTGAGGTCGTGTTGCGCAAATTTATAAATATAGTAGGGTCATTTAGTCAATAACACATTCCCGTACTAATTTAGTGGCTAAATAAGGTTGACTTTTGTTTATGTGGCTAAATTTGATTGACCAGGCGTAAAAAGGGCTAGTTGTGAATTTTTCGCACAGCTGAAAATAAACGTGCAACGCATGTTCACAGAGACTAGTTACCTTAATTTATGGGAAGCACAAAATGATAGATGGCCGCTTGTCAGATAATAATGAGTTCAAATTTGTATAGTATCTAGCAAATCATATCATATTCCTTCTCATATATAAATCCTACATAAAAGAAAAGAGCAAAGGCAATTATGAAAAAATTATTCAGTAAATCTATCAAGCTAGCAACAAGATGAAATTAGAGATGGCAAATGGGACGGAAGCGGTTTCGCCTTAACCTCCAAAATTTTCAACCCGCACCGCTTAGGCCCATGTAAGTTTTTTCACATTGACTAGTACATATTCAGTAATTAAGTTTGATTATGTCACCATTTTTAATATTTTTATTGTGTTTTCGTTATATGTTAGACCGGAATATCGCCATCTCAAGGAAACTTCACCTTGTAAATCTATCAGATTGAGAAGAGGGTACATGAGCAAACCTACACAGCATACATTAGAGGCTTAAATTAGAGTGTCCCGTCATTCTAGATACAGTACAATCCAATATTGATCATCCCATTATCAATATCTCCGATGTTACCACCACCGACAACTTAGGCTTTCACACCAAAACGTATTTCAGGATTACGTTACAGAACGTTTACATATACATAGACAAGTACAACCCACAAGCTCCTAATGAGAATTTGAAAATATCAATCAATGAATTGATGGTACTAGGAAACTGCCTACTCCTAACATCTGTTGTTGCATTGTCTTATGTAATGGACCAAAGTTCTATGTACGTCCCTGTATAAGAACTCATTCTTCAGTGTCTGAACGTGTCGGGAATTCCACTCCATAGAGTGCCGGTATGTTCTCCAAATCTTTCTTCGAGAACAATGGCAAAAACCATAATGCCTTATTAGCGCCAAAAACCTTTTAAAAAACAACCATTAGAAAACAATATTGGTCAAACCAAGGCACTCTCAGCAATTGCCTAAACAGTTCAACTACACCAATAACCAACAAATATCATTGATGGTAGAAATAATATCATACTCACTTAATAACACGACTCTCGTATTATAAATATTATAATTGACTGTTTATTGCATGATTGAAGAAATTATTCTTCAAGGTCTTAAACCTTTCCGGTCGCCTATAATTCCTGCTGCCATTGCTTAGAAGCCACTAAAAAGATGCATTATTAAAGCAAAAATAGAGGAGCGGCTTATGCATATCACCTGTTCAAAATTCCTTTTCCAGCCAAGGTCATACTTCCAGTGCACAGTTTTTTTCTTCTCATAAACCTAGAACACAGACAGACGAGGCAACTATAAGGTTACTACGAAAGGAAACATATTTCCTTTTTTCCTATCTATTTCTTGTCAATTTCATTCCTAGAGTTGAAGGAGAAGCATTAAAGTTGACATATAATGGACAATAACAACGTTTGACATACCTCCACTGAAGTGGTGTTGCTTGAGAGCAGAGATGCATGCATAATCACAAAACAAAGAAGACTGAGTGAAAAGGCTAGATTCAGAACTGCATCAACGTCAAATCTGTAAGAAACAAAGGAAATCATAACAATCAAGACTAAGTCATTAAGATAGTAGAGACTGCTTACCAAAGGCTAGAAAAACGACTGCAATGTTGTCCGGCGAGAATGAATGATTCTTGGCTTGTCGAAAGAATTTTATAAAACTGGGTAGCAGCACCAGAGTGTCCAATGTTGTTGTCAAAAATGTGTACATCTGCATAGATACTCAAATGGACAAGCTTAGTAAAGCACAATATAGATATCAGAGTGATAACTGATGACTTCAAGAAACTCTTTCCCACCAACAAGAAAAGAAACAGATATATAGGAGTGTACTTAGAAGCACGGAAATCAAACACTATGTCATCTAATTGACTCATATTTAGATCCAACATAAGCAAGTGACAGACACAAGCACACTCATATCCAAATGGACAAACACGAGTCTGCCATGTTGTTTTGATTTATTAAATTTTAGATACATGTAAGTCTATTTTGGCATCCGTGTCTCTGGTTTCGGAGACATGTCCAGAAAGGAGATACCAGGAGGACAATACCAAGTTCAAGCTATGTTGTTTTTGCAGTGCCATCTTGACACTTGCCTTGATAATATTGACTTATCAAAAAAATACCAAGTGCAAGATATGAATTTCGGAAAAAAACAGTTCATTCTTGTGTAATAATTGAAACTTATAAACACAATTCCGTAACCATGTAATCAACTCCTCAAAGCCATAGGATCTAAAAGAAGAAGAAAGCAAAAAAGAAAGTGCTGTTTAGCTTCCTCTCCTCCACCCCATTCCGTCCAAACCAGAGATTTCCTAAAACCCATACTTGTTTACTCTATTTGTGGACGAGTAAACTAATAGTACAGAGAAATGTTTCCTCCTACATGCTATTTGAATATAATATTATGTTAATAGCCAACTAGTCAATAAAAAGTTGTTAATACGAGGAAGCACCCAAGAAAACAGGGGTTTTAAGATAAGTAAAAGCATGGCATAATATACATATACCACAAGTTTGGCCGTATAAGAACAAAAGAATAAGTGAGATTTGATGCGATAATGGCATCTAAATTTAGACAATTCAAGTATCTATACACAATCTTCTAGGATGATGTAATTGTAACACACGATAAAATAGGATGGTTGAAATTGAGGAGTCCTATGAATACAATATTATAATGAGTGAACATTGGATCTAAGGCCCAACATATCCTCAAGATTAGAGTTGTAAAACTACCAATATTAAGATAGATGTGTGATCATACATGATTGGACAAGATGAACATGCTTACATAAGACAGCGGATGCAAATAGCACAAATAAAGGATTAAATTAGAAGTCATTTGAGATGATTTTGCTTCTCCTCCTTAGACATACAATGCACCGATATACTCCGACACTGTTGAAGGTGCTCAAATAGGACATAGTGAATCTAAAATTAAACTGAAGGAAGTTGATTTAAAAGATATACAAACTCTAGAAATCAATGCCGCTAAGAACAGAACTCAAAGGAAAGAAAGGATCTATATAGGTGATACCAACTAATTGAGATTAAAGAAAAAATATTTTGTTCCTACACTAAGATTATGTCCATTTGTTTACCAAAACGTGTTGGTCTAATTAGAGAATTGCATGTCGGTAATGCAACCGTGTCAGATTTATTGAACCTCTACTTATTGGAAACTGTGATTTAGTGAACCTCAACTTTAAGAAAAGACGCAATTTGCCTTAAAGACAAATTATGTACTGGTATTGAAAAGGACTGGGCCCGAAAGAGCAGAGTGGATATATGGATTTATATGACCAACTCCAATTGGTTTGTAATTGTGAATTGCAGTTGATTGAATGAGACAAATTGGCTTCTGTGCACTTACTACTTATTTGCAAGGTTAGAAAAGATACTCTTTTCAAGTTGTCTTATCGAAACTTTCCTCGTGCTCAAAAGTCAAGATAGCTTTAAAATTCATGAAAAGATCTTAGGGTCGATTTAGGTCACCAAGAGTGAAGTAGGCAAAGCCATGTAGAGGGAAAAGAAAGGCTCAAAATGGAGATAAGCAAGTGTTCAAACTCACATCGAATTTCAATCTAAGATACCGTTATTTAACGAACGAAACATAACAACAGCGACAACAGCAAAAAATAATAACAAGAAGGCGGCGGCGGCTTTGGATTCCGCATATTTTGGCTATGAACATTTTCAGGACCACATTCACAGGCAAGAAAAGGTTGCAGGTATATATCTACTTGATTTTTCTGAAAAAAGCATTACACAAAAGCAAAAAGTATACAAAACTAACTCCATACCACAAAAAGGAGGAAAAACTTGTAGTTGCGGGACCCCACACAGTTGACAACCCATATGCAGTGATGATCCATCTTAAGAACACATCTTTGACCTACAGGACATGACAGAATTTCCAGTTCAGCAGATATCTGTTTTAGGTCTCATATAAGTGCCTAATTTCTGCAAATTGAGATACGCCATGATAGCCATAGAACAAAAGATCTTAAGGATAAATTAATGCAAATAATCATGTGACACTTCTAAGGCATGGTGCAGAGAGATAGAAATCACCATGCTTACTACTTCATGGCAAAATATACATACCCAAAATTAACCAGACTTTGACAGGAGAACTGCTTAAGAATATAGAGAAGAGATATGAAAACAACAATAAACCTTTCATCTCACACCCAACATGCCAGATAAGGATTAAGATAAAGATTTTAGGGGGCATTGCTCCAGCATGTGCAACTCCTTTGGGCTAGAGGCAGAAAATGGATAAAACAGTAACAAACACGCACGGTATAAATGGGTATGGGTGAAGATTTATACAACTCACATATAATCCATTTACCCACCTTGTCACCTATACCTCGACTGAAGGCAAGAGGATAACTTTATCTGGGCAATCGTAATTTGGATATAAGCATATAGTTAATTAGACTAGCACGTACAAACAGAACAATGATGACAACGAGGTGGCTTGCCATTTTGGCATTGACTGCAATAGCCTCTGAACTGTGACTGTCTTCTTTCTATCTGGTCAGTTGATACTGTTGGAGTAGGGTTCTCGATTGATGCATAATCAGTTAAAGCAACAGAGTTACCCTCCTCTATGTTCTGCTCAGATACTAGTTTCCAGTTTTCAGGGACCGAACCAGGGTCCTGAATTACTACCTTAATATAGCTCCACATTAGCAATACAAGCTGCAAGATGAATTACAGGTTTATATTAGGCTACTGAATCAAAGGTACAATCCTCAAAAGAAAATGATGCCTTCTCTAGGAAGTTTCCTGGTAATTGTGTACCAAGTCAAAAGTATAAAAGTAGGTATTGTTCCTGCGAATTTTCTATTTCAATAAGTGCAATTCATGTTTGCAACGTACAAATGATCTGCAACTCCAGACATATCAAAATTAGCAAAAGTGCAGTTTCTACATGATAAGGAAATGTCTGAGTCATGTATTTCATGAATCTCATGAACACAGCAAAACGGTAGTTTCTGAACAAATACAGAATGGTGGAGCCATGTTTATTAATGAATCTTTCGGACATGATAGGCAAAGCAAAGTTTCATTATAACATGGATCTTGAGTCTGGTAAATAGAACGACAAGAATTTATAAAGGAGTCGCGACAGCTCAGCAAAGTTACATCAAGTACTACATACTGCAGCCTGCAGGTTTGGAGAAGTGTGAATTAGATGGGAATTCTCAAAAGACATGAAGGCAAGTAGATATTCGCCAATGCTGCTGTATGCTTCAGATCTTAACAAGAATGCTAAGCATTTAGTCATCATTGTCTCATCAATCTCTTTGAGCAGTAAGGAATTATAGTTTCACTTCTCTCTTTACATGTTCTATGAGTTACATGAGCAGGCAAGCTAAGGAAGTGGGAGATTGTCTATCTACCTCATGCTTGAGTCACTAAAAGTAGCCACTACTCTTGCAAATGATATGCAAGACTTTGACTAGTTAGTAATATCATAGATAATCACAACTGGCATGACAGAAAAATTTAAGGACCAAATCTGGGCACTTGCTCAAATACTCTAACCCTTAAACTGCTAAAATTCCATGCTAGAAAAAATAACTTGTTTTCCAGTTTCAGTTTGGTCTATACCTTTCCTTTCCAGCTTGTAGGAAGATAATGGCTGACTCCGCTCAATGATAAATCTTCCCAAATATATCCTTCAATCCATTTTCCTTGATGGGATTACCTTTCAAATTTCTCTTGATTTTTTATATGACAGTCTTTCATCTACACAAGTTCGGATTGTCATACACTTTTACTACCTTTTCACATAAGTAAAAGTTTTAGCAATAGCAACAACCAGCACTATTCAGGAAAAAATGTGTATCCATTTTTCATGATATTACGCATGGATAAGGTATATCATGGCGAATTCTTTAGAAAAGTGTGGCTTCCACATTGGAACCTGACAAGTGAAACCCACAAGACACGATATAGAACTGTGATTTATATCTTCTTAATCTCCTGTTAGTCTACCGCCCAACGCCAAAAGAGTTCTTGTACTCTCAAGAAAATAGAGGAAAACTAATTAAGAGAGAAACAGTTTTGAATTGATTGTAGATACTATACCAGAGAGTTCATTATATCAGAGTTTAGCTACTAGAGGTACGGTAAATATAGACTACATTAATAACAAAGTTATTCGATAACAGAAATAACCTAAAAGCTGAGATTCCTCATTATGACAGAATTAGGAGAATACTATTAACCTAAACAAGTGAACGAATCTAAAAAATTCTAACAACAACATACCCAGTATATTCCCACAAGTGGGGTCTGGGGAGGGTGGTGAATACGCAGACCTTACCCCTACCTTGTGCAGGTAGAGAGGTTGTTTCCGAGAGACCCTCGGGCTCAGTTAGGGGAATCTAGAAAATTCTAACATATAATTAAATTCATTCTCTTGACTTTCGACATGCCCCACAAATTCAAGGTAGTATAGCAACTTGAGTTTGCAAATCAAAACCGAAAAGACAAATCAAGTATGTCGGAAAAAGTTATTATTGAAGGAACAATGATCTGAATAGCATTGCCAGAACATTGCTGTTGGAATAGTGCACGCATTGGTGTCAAAGGCAAAAAGCATCAAAAGCCCCAAGGTCTGCAAGTCTTTAAGCACTTCAGTGAAGGAAGGCACAAATGAAGAGAAAGTAAAGAATCTTATATGCAATGTAAGAAAAATTACTCACTCTATTCCATTTTATATCACGCTCTTTCTTTTTAATTTTTTCTAAAAAGAATTATCTTTCTATATTTATTTTTTTTTGAAAAGGTAACATTTGTATATAAATAATAAGACTACATAGAAACTGTGGAGTCATCCATAATTACAAGGTGAAACATAGGAGAAGCTCTCCTAATCCTTTTTCTTCTCATAAGGATTCTAATAAATCAAAAATAGATTCATGCTTTTCTAAGTATTCTCCTTTATACCAAAAAAATACAAGGTAGCACACCTATGGGAAGAAGAATAACTTGGTTAGGCACCCAAGGGTGTGGCCTCGCAGTCAATAACCGGAATGACTATAGGATATCAGGGTTCAAATCTCACCTAAAGCAAAAATGCTAGATGATTTCTTTCCACCTGTATGGACAGACTTCCCTTGTACATGTGCTATAAGGAGATAGCAGGCACCCCATGGATTAGTCGACGCGCACACAAGATGGCCCGAACATCATCGTTTTGCATCCAGCGGCGGGGACAAACATTTGATTTCCCAGTTAATGAAGGCTCTTCTGGACAAAAATTTCCAATATTTTAGCTTGAAGAGATACAGATGCTTCAATCATTGTTACTGTATCATAGGGGTCTTGAAGCTGCTTTCCAGAAGGGGTATACTCCAGCCAAGAGTTCTCAAATTTTCCAAGTATATTTGCAAATAAAGGAGGATAAAACGACTCCATCTGGTGAGTAACCTATGAGTTGTCGTCTATATAGCTGGAGTAGATCTCCCATTCTTTCTCGTGAGAATCTAGAGACATTAAAGTCACCACCCAAGTTATAACCATAGTCCTTCAGTACAGAAAGCTCAAACCTAGTCTTTCTATTCATTTCTAGCATTTCGTCCATATGCATCCGAGAAATCATTGAGAAATAATAAACAATATTTGAGAGAACAACAGAGATAAGAGTGACAACCACTTAAAATATCTTTACACGACCACCATCATTTATCTCATAGAATTAGGATTCCTCCACTTCTGTTAGTGGTCGGTAGGGAAAATAAACACCACCCAGCTTCACTTTGCCCAATGAATCTCCCCTTCCATTCTTCCATCTTAGATCTTTAAACCCCTCCCATTCTAGCTTACAATTTTATCTCCATTTGTCAACAATTAGATATGCCCTTCCTCTACTCCTATCACCCCATATCCGTAGATGATGTAGAAGCCTAGCTTCTTCAATTCTTTCTATTCCTAATCCAACATACAGTTTTTCCATGTATTAAGCTGTCTCAAATAAAGCTCACATTCTTATAAAGAAGCTTCTACCTCATATTATAGAACACCAAATGAAACACATATTAGCAAACTTTTATGCAACAATCCATTTAACCTTTCTTTCTTAATCTCTACTAATCAAAGGGAGTTATCCAATTTGGAGGCGAAGGATAACACAAAATGTTACCTGGTTTCACTGCTCCACTTGAAGAAATTTTTTTTCTTCGTACAATCTCTGAATAGCAATGAACTTAATTGTCACCCCAACATATTCTTGGTAACGGCAAAGAGTAAACATTGGCAACTTTGGTCCAAGTAGTAGAGTAACATTAGTTCAGATTGAGATGGAGATAGGAAGAAGGAACAATTATAACATGAAGAGCTATAAGATCTACTGTAGGTCCCAGGTTTCGTAATTGATATCAATCCAATAGACATTCTAACTCTCATCTTAATGTGGTGTTAGAGCCAGTTGAATTTGGGATAGAGTTGGGGACAAGAATAATTTAATTAATAGCGCACCCTCGCTATCTCCTTCCCATACTACCCTGCAATTCATTACTAGCCTTTTCCATAGTCCAACTACAAACATATATATGCTCATAAGTAAAGGCAAAAGATAAGAAGAACTTACAAGAATATGAAAGGTGAGGAAAGACAAGAAGGAGGTGAAGCTGCGAGCGTGAAGGAGGTGTGGAGCCAAGGTGAGAAGGACAACAGCATAATAGGAGAGAGCGACAATAGCGAAAACGATGACGATCATGAAATAGCCCAGGACTTTGAGTCCCGAACATAGCCTGAAAGGGTTCATTGCAGGAGGCACAAGTTGTAGAACGGGCAAGGACGCCCTTCTGGATCGAGCTGGGAACAGGCGTCTCCAGTTATGGGAAGCCAGCTCGAAATAGTGAGAACGCCGGTCACCGAGATTATCGACCGGCCGAGAGGAGATTAATCTATCTCTGTCGGTGTGTTTTACTTTTACCACATCGAAATACACAGTCTCTCCTGTGTCTCAGATTGTTTAAAAATTTGACTCAACTTTGCCTTAGTCCAGGAAGAAGAATTTTTAATTTTTTATAATATGTGATTAGATCAAGGAAAAAGAATTAGATTGACGAACCCAAAAAAAGGGGGGGTAGAACGAATAAATCCAAAAAATAGAGTGCGAATACACATTTGACGTGAGCCAGCAAGAAATCATTACAATAATTAAGCTAGCGTTTGGCCATAGATTCTCAAATTTGTTCTGAAAAATTTAATTTGGGTGAAGTTTGGTTTGAACATAAAAATGTGTTTGGTCATCCGTTTTCAAAACATATTTTACAAATTTATTTTGGCAAAACATAAAACATGACTTATACCCACAAGTTCTAAAAACTATCACAAATACCCAATAGTACCATTATCAATAACACTCATTATATTATCGCAAACCATAGTCCTCAACATAAATAAATTTAATACAAATTTATCATTTTTATAATAAACTACATGATACACTATCAGATGACCGAGAAAACGAAACAACATTGTTATAAAATAATAAATGGTGGGCTCTTTTATAAAATACAAAAGTTTGGGACAATTTTTAAAAAATTGTATTAGTGATATTTTGGACCATTAGCTGGTTTTGGGATTTAGGATTTTGCCAAAATGTAGGCAAAATCTATGGCCAAACATGCATTTACCAAATAAAACCCAAATTTATTTTGACAAAAATTATGGCCAAACGAGTCCTAAGTATAATATGAAAAGAAGAAAGGAGGAATTTTTGCCGATAGGATGGACTACAAAAAGAATTATGGCTCTAAATCGCCAAAAAAAAAAAGAGAAACGGTCATGATAAAGCGATTGACTATTGTTCATTATGTCATTTTTTATGGGCACGCAAAAAATTTAGTAGATTCGGGGTCGGTTGCCCAAATTCATGCAGATGGCGTGGACTATAGCACACGAGAATTTGGGAATCGTCTTAAATTCCTATTTATGACCCTAGAACACCCAAAATAAGGAATGGTCATCGCGGAACAATGGCCATTGTTCATTAGGTCATTTTTTATAGACCCGCAAAATTTTAGAAGATTCGGAGTCGGTCGCCCGAACTAATACAAATGGCGTGGAGTGGACTATAGCAGATGAAATCTGTGAATCGTCCTGAATTCTCGTTTTATGGCCCTAAAATGCTTGAAAACGAGGACCATCCATAGTGAAACGATAACTATTAGTCATTAGGTCTTTTTTTTGGGCTCGCAAAATTGAAGGAGATTCGGAGTCGATCGTATGAATTCATGCATATGGTGTGGACTATAACACATGAAAATCTGGGAATCGTCCTAAATTCCCGTTTTATGGCCCTAAAATGCCAAAAAGTGAGAAACGATCATGGCAAAATAATGACTATTGTTCATTAGGTCATTTTTTATGGGCACTGCAAATTTTTAGGAGATTTGGAGTCGATCACCCGAATTCATGCAGATGACGTGGACTATGCACACAAAAATTTGGGAATCGTCCTGAATTCCTGTTTATAGCCTTATAATGTCAAAAAATGAGGAACGGTCATGGCGAAGCGATGACTATTGATCATTAGATATTTTTTATGGACCCAAAAAAATTTAAGAGATTCGGGGCCGGTTGTCCGAATTCATGCAGATAGCGTGGATTATAGCACACGAAAATATGGGAATCGTCTTGGATTCTTGTTTTTAGCTCTAAAATGCCAAAAATTGAGGAACAGTCATGGCGAAGTGATGACTATAGTTTATTAGGTCATTTTTACGGGCCCGCAAAAATTTAGGAAATTTGGAGCCGGTCTCCCGAATTTATGTAGATGGTGTGGATTTTAGTACATGAAAATATGAAAATTATCCTAATTTCCTGCTCTATGGCCCTAAAACGCCAAAAATTGAGGAACAAGCATGGCGAAGCAATGACTATTGTTCATTTGGTCATTTTCTATGGGCACGTAAAATTTTAGGAGATTCGGGGCTAGTCAACCGAATTCATGCAGATCTCGTGGACTATAACATACGATAATCTGGTAATCGTCCCGAATTTCTATTTTCTGACTCTAAAATGCTGAAAACGAGGAACGGTCATGGCGAAGCGATATCTTTGTTTATTAGGATATTTTTTATGGGCCCACAAAACTTTAGAATATTCGGAGCCAGTCGCCCGAATTCATACAGATGGTGTGGACTATAGCACGCGAAAATTTGGAAATCGTCTTGAATTCCTATTTTATGGCCCTAAGACGCCAAAAAATAAGGAACAATCGTGACGAAGCAATGACTATTGTTCATTAGGTTGTTCCTAATTGGCCCGCAAAATTTTAGAAAATTCGGGGTCGGTCACCGAAATTCGCATATAGCTTGGACTATAGCACACGAAAATCTGGGAATCGTCCATCCCTTGCCCGTTTTCCTCTCCCATGCATCCAATGCCCACAACCAATAAGAATTCTTCTAACCGCTTTCCTAGCATCTTCTCATTAGTCACTAAAGATTTCCCTCAATTACCCTTTAAGTTCTAGATATTTACCCTTTTAGCTTACTTTACCCCTCCCCTTCTAGCATCTTCCTCTTTTATCCTTTTCTTTTATCTTTTACTATGATTGACCTTAAAGAGGATTTGGGTCAAATATAAAGAGGCCATGAACCTAGGCTTGGTTGACATCTACCCGTCCTAGGAGCCCATACTAGACTATCAATTCATCTCATTCTAGACTATAAATTCCTCTAGGCATGTTTCTCAAACAAATAAGTCTCATCCTTCTACAATACAGTCAGAAACGAAACCTAAAATCCAAATCAATACTCTTAAACTAAGGACCAATACCAAATTAACATAATTAAGCTAAACATAGACTGACACTTAAGCAAAACAAAAATATCTAAAAGCAACAACCTAAATAGACTTAATTAGACAAGCAACTAATTGGAATTAACGAACTAATATGGAATTAACTATCAATATAAAATACAGGAAATCAAAGGGGGAGGGGGGAGAGGGGGGNGACCGATTGCACGGGAGTACCCACCTTGAACTTTAGGATCCAGTAGGTGTTGATGTACAAGCGGACATTGTGAGCTGAATTCAGAAAAACCAAACTCGAGTTGGAGGTCAGAAAAGGGAAGGTCTTACAGTAGGGGGTAAGTATTTTGGTTGTTAAAGGCCATTGTTACATAATCATTTGCTTGATTTTGTCAATCGGCCAGTGGTACATGTAACAATGGCTTTTGATAGCCAAATGAAAGGTCATGGAGGCGGACTTAGTTAAAAATCATGAAACCCTAGCTGACAGGGGTCAATGACACTTGAGCAACGAACCTAAATCTTTATTCTAGTGAGTTGCTGCAAGTGACATTGGCTCCTAGTAGGCAATATCAGGAACAAAAGAGTACATGTGCCTTGACCACCAAGGGTCTTTGACCAACGAATACTGACTCAGACCTTTTAAGTCCGATAAGTACTTCATTGGCCAAAAATCTTTGAAGAATCTAGGCCGAAGAAAGAAAAATTAGGGAAAGAAGAAGGCAATTTAGGAGTTTCAGGCTGGTCAACGGTGAGTTGACGGGCGGCGGTGGCCGCGAAATAACATGAAACTAACCTCAATCAATAGATCTCATAGGGATCTATCGATTGTCGTTTGTTTCAAGAGATTTCAGTTGTTGGTTGAGTGGGAATCGGGGAAGGGCAGAAAGGTTAGGGTTTTGATTTTGGAGGTTTGATTTGGTGTTGAAGAGGTGAAGATCAAGGTTTGATCTTGGCAAGGAGGAGGAAAGGAGAAGAGTTAGAGTGGTTTGCAATTAATTCGTTAACTCCCGCCGGTGGAGAAGAGTTAGAGTGGTTTGCAATTGATTGGTTAACTCCGACCGGTAAAGACAATTTTTGGTCAGTGGTCAAAAGTGGAGGATTAGTGGTTTGAGAGTGGTGAGTGGCGGAGATGATTTCTTGCCACTCGGGAGAGAAAGAAAGAGGGCAGAATTGAAAGATTGACCTTTTCTTTAAAAAAGAAATTCAAGTGGAACGGCATAATTTCGATTCGAAACTACGTTGTTTGGAGGGGTCTGTGAGGTCAAGGGAATTGACCGTGCTGAGATTTGGACTGGGCAGGGAAATAGCATAACTGGGCCAGTGAAATGTTTGGCCCAGTTCTTCAAATGGAAGAGACGATCCGTTTTTTTCTTCTTTTACTTTACACAATTAACCACTTGAACCTTAATTATCAAATGGCTTATTTCTTGCATTTCTAGCCCGTTTTTGTCTAATTAACATTAAATATCCTAACCAACTATTTATTTATGCAAATTACATCCAAAAATGCAAAATAAACGGCAATTAACATTTTTGTGATTTTGTGTATTTTAATGCGCAACTAAATGTAACTAAATGCAATGAAATGCAATTAATAAACGAAATGTAAAAACTAAAAAAGAATTAGAATTTCTAAAAAACCTATAAAGTTTGAAATAAATAAAGGACCTAATTAGAGCTTTAGGAATAATTTTTTTTTTTGCAAAAATCACATGCACATAGGCCTACCTCTGTCATGCCCCGAACCTGGGGGGCGAGACTAGCACCAGGTACCTCACCTAATCTAGCGTACCAACTTGCGACTAAGGGACTCTGAACATATAATGTCATAATTTGGCCATGGGGCTACATTGCAAGACAACTTGCGAAGAAATATATAAAACTGAACGAAAACTAGCGCTGATTAAACATCAATATAAAGCTGGGCCGATAAGGCGGTCATAACTACTATAACTGACAAACCAATAAAATATACATACCAGGCCTACAAGCCCAACATACTGCACTAACTAACAAGATATGTCTACAAGCCTCTACCGATGAATGTATTATGATCGGAACAGGGCCTCAACCTACCCATAACATATATACATACATATAGAAGATGTACACAAAACCCTAGACCTGGCAACTCCGAAGGACGTGGAGCTTACCGATCAGGCTAAACTCGGGAAACACCTACTGAGGAGGTCTACCCGTCTGTCTATCTTAACCTGCACGCATGAAATGCAGCGTCCCCAGAAAAGGGACG